TGCTGCGGCTGTCTTTCTGTGCCCACTCAGAAATCCCCCACTTCTTCTGTGAGCTCAACCAGGTGGTCCACAGCGCCTGCTCCGACACCTTCCTCAATGATTTGGTCATCTACCTAGCCGCTGTGTTTTTGGCTTTCGTTCCCTTTGCCTGCATCCTGTATTCTTACTCCAAGATCGTCTCCTCCGTCCGGGCCATGTCCACAGCCCAGGAGAAGTACAAGGCCTTCTCCACCTGCGCATCGCACCTCTCCGTGGTCTCCTTGTTTTACGGCACAATCCTGGGTGTGTACCTCAGCTCGACGGTGACCCAAAACTCACACTCAACCGGCACGGCCTCGGTGATGTACAGTGTGGTCACCCCCATGCTGAACCCCTTCATCTACAGCCTCAGGAACAAAGACCTCAAGAGGGCTCTGAACAAACTCTTAGTGGTAGACAGTATGAAAATGCCCTCGGTCCGCAGACTGAATTGTGGGTGACGGCAGGTTTTAAAGACTCAGGAGCAGGCTGGGAGTGTTTTTGTTTTTGTTTTCCCTCATCAGACAATGGATGGCCAGCATATCCCTTCTCTTTTAACCTGGAGTTTGATTTTCTCTGATTTTGGCTTCTCTATACAATTCAGTTACCCAATTTGCCAGTACTGGGGCTTGAACTCAGGGACTAGGTGCTACCCTTTAGCATTTTTACTCAAGACTAGCACTCTACCACTTGAGCCACACCTCCATCCATTTCCAGCGTTTTGTTGGTTAACTGGAGATAAGGATCTCAGGGACTTTTCTGCCTGGGCTGGCTTTGAGTCATGATCCTCAGATCTCAGCCTCCTGAGTAGCTAGGATAACAGGTGTGAGCCACTGGTGCCCAGCTCATACTGCATATTTTGTAGTAAGTGGAATAAAAGGATTGGAATGCTCCCACACACTAGGAACTAGAAACAATGAATGCTTGAGAGAATACACTAAAACCTCTGATTTGATTATTACATTATATCTGTACATACACCTATCTATATCTCAAAAACAACACTCCAGCCGAGCGGCAGTGGCTCACACATTTAATCCTAGTTACTCAGGAGGGAGAGATCTGAGAACTACAGCTCAAAGCCAGCCTGGGCAGGAAAGCCTGAGACTCTCATCTCCAATTACTCAAAAAAAATCACAGTCCACCCCATAAATATGCACAAATAATAGATGTTCATTTACCTTGCTTTGTTTTATTATTTTAAGTAGTTGTACAAAGGAGTTGCCTCTTAACGAAGCTGCTTATGAATATGATGCATCTCAATCGACGCGGGTGTCTGTTTTTGGGGGTTACACACAGTGTGCTTTGTAGTGAGCAATGCAACCAAAGAGAAATAATAACAATCTGAAAAGTTGCCTCTCTAACCAGGTTCCTGAGAGGAAATGAGAGTAAGAAAAAATTCCCCAGAAGCCTCAGGGGTCCAGTGGAGAAACAGAGCGTTTTCTTTTGTTCTGTGTGAAATATGAAATGTGTCTGCAATGAAAAAGAATCTGTCCCAGGTCCCTGCCGCTCCCGTTCTCCCTCCCGTGACCCTGGGTTTTCCAGGGCTTTCTTTTCTCCTCAGCCCTGACATGCAGAACATCCACACTGGAATTTAGGGCTCAGCTCTCCCTCCGTAACCAACTCCCGTGCTTTGTGGTCTGCGTGGATTCCAAATGGTTTTCCCAACAACTGAAGGCATGGCTCAAGGGGTAGAGCACCAGCAAGCTGACAAGCCAAGCAAGCGTGAGGCCCTGAATTCAAATCTCAATACTAGAAGAAATGCGATTTTTCTCCTACTATCCCTTCCCTCCCCTACCTCCTCCCCAGACCCCCCCCCAAAGTTGTAAAGTTCTTTTCAAACATAGTGTCTTTTATCGTTGTTGCAATGGGTCATCCTGGGCTCTTATAACAATGCTCGACAAGAAATGTGCTCATTACCTTTCTCATGTAACTGTAATGCCTCTGTATAGCATCTTTACAATAAATTAAAATTTTAAGAAAAGAAATCTGATTTTTTTCTTCTTTTTTTGTTTTTTGGTTGGTCATGGGGCTTGAACTCTGGGCCTGGGCGCTGTCCCTCAGCTCTTCAGCTCAAGGCTAGTGCTCCACCATTTGAGCTACGATGTCACTTCCGGTTTTCTGGTGGTTTATTGGAGATGAGAGTCTCCTGGACTTTCCTGCCTGGGCTGGCTTTGACCTGTGATCCTCAGATCTCAGCCTCCTGAGAAGCTAGGATGACAGGTGTGAGCCGCCAGCACCTGGCTAAATTTGATTTTCTTAAACAACCCTCCTGCCTAGCCTCAGGGAAGAAAACCAAAATAACTCCACAATCCCGATTCATATCATTTGAAACATTTTGTTCCAATGCTTCCTAAAAATAAAATTTATTTCTCACACAAGCACAATGACACAAGATACAATTTTTGAACTTTGCATTTATTACTTGTCAGCATTTATAAGTATGTTCCCTTTGAAAAATGGTCAAAGGCTCCATTATAAAGTTGAAACACACATCCTTCCTATTTATTGAGGCTCTTTCATTTGCTTAATAATTCTTCTGCAACAGATGTCCATGGCTCAAACCTGTAATCTTAGCTTCTCAGGAGGCTGAGATCTGAGGATCGTAGTTCAAAGTCAGCCCAGGCAGCAATGTCTGTGACAAAAAAGCCAGAAGTGGCGCTGTGGCTCAGTGGTAGAACACTAGCCTTGAACACAAAAGCTCAGGAGGCAGCATCCAGGCCAGCATCGGTGCACACACACACACACACACACACACACAAAATCTCATGACTGGGGGCAATTAGGATGGTTCCACATTTTCATTTATGTAGATTGAATGACTATGGACATAAATCTCTGACTCTACCATTGATTGCATTTCAGCTTGAGCTCTTCAGCTCAAAGCTAGCGCTCTACCTCTTGAGCCACAGCGCCACTTCCGGCTTTTTTCCTTTTGCTTACATGGTGCTGAGGAATCGAACCCAGGGCCTCATGTATACAAGGCAAGCGCTCTACCACTGAGCCACCTTCCCAGCCCCTGGTATTATTTTTTCTGAGTGGTATTATTGAAAAGATATGAACCATGCTTTAAATTGCCATTATATTTTGAGAATTAGAAGTACCAAAAATAGAATGAACTTCGTTCGTGAGTATGCTAAAGAGCAAAGAAAGAAAGTATCTACACTAGACATACTCAGCATTAGCAGATAGTGGGTATTTCTGAAGCGCTTTTCAAAATACTGAATTGGCAGATGGCCCTTATCTAACTATGCAAGGAGTGGAAGGAAAAATGTCATTTTTTCTCCACTTGAGAATAGAGAGCTGGAGGGGAGAGCACAGAGAGTATTTCCATAGGATATGAGTAAATCTAATTTCTGAAGCTGTGTGTGTGTGTGTGTGTGTGTGTGTGTGTGTGTGTGTACTGGGACTTGAACTTGGCACTCAGCTTCTGCTCAGTTTGTATAGATGCAGTCATCCGTTGTTCATCGTTAATGCAGACATTGGCAGTTTGCCTATCTTGGCTATTTTCAGCCTTTCAATGAATATGAATATGAATATGTGGGCTTTTCTCTGAGACAATAGTTTCCCGACCCTGACCTGTGCCCAGCTTGCCAGGTGCGATCAGTCGCATACTGATACCTGCGGTCCAGCGTGCAGGGAAGGTGTGTGTTCTGAGTTCCTCCACCAGCCACGTTCCCCACTCCTCAGCGCTCATGTCAGGATTTCAGACGTCAGCATCATCGTTGTTTCTCTTGTTTCTTTTGGTTTGAGACCGGGACTCAAATTCAGCGGCCGATGCTTTTGCCCACTGGCTGGTGGTGCTCTCCCAGCTGAGCCAGGACTCCGGTCTCCAGAGCTGACTTTCTTGCAAGCACTATAGTTTCTGTTGTGTTCTCACCTCTTGGCAGGCAAATCAAGCCATGGCACTGCTTTCGTACCAGCTGGTAAAATCCCCCCTCGTGATGCAGCTCACACATGAGCTGAGGAGTCCCTGGAAATTCAGAGCGATTCACGGCCACGGAGAAGAGTCTCCACGGTCACCATCACTGTGGGCAGCTGTGACTGTCATCGCGTTCTCTCATTGGCTACGTTCACCGTGACATCACAAAGGTTTCTGGAGACAGGAAGTGAGTCTAGATTTTCCCAGGATCCTGTGGGGCAGCCGTGGTGATGGGGAAGAGGATTTTCCCCCAGGGCCTGCGCATTGTCCAGGACACGATGATGTCCTGACCCCACGGACTTCCTCTCTGACCCTCCTCTCGTGCGGCTCCTAAGCGGTTCATGCAGAGCTTTGTGGTGCAAGTGGTAGAGCACCTGCTCTGAGTGAAAAAGCCCAGGCACAGTGCCCTGAATTCAAGTCCCAGTATCAGTACACACACACCTCATTAATCCTAATTTAATTAAGTGGAAATCTTGTGTGTGTGTGTGTGTGTGTGTGTGTGTGTGTTGCTCCTGGAGCTGGAACTCAGGGCCTGGGTGTTGTTCAGTCAAGGCTAGTGCTTTGCTACTTGAGCCACAGTTCGACTTCTGGTCTAGTTGTTGATAGCTTATTGGAGTTGAGAGTCTCACAAACTTTCCTGCACAGCTGGATTTGAAGCGCAGCCTTCGGCTCTCAACCTTCCAGGTAGCTAGGACGTCAGCATCCTGTGAATCAGTTTATTGAGATATCAGGAGTTTGTGGAGGCCAGGAAACCAGTGAAGTAAAGTTGTTCATTCGTAGACTTCTGAAAACTCTTAGTGGAGGGCTGTGCTAGCTGTGAGTTTAGGCTGGTGCAAGCGAGGAGAGTGAATGGAAGCGCGGTAATGACTGTGGTACGTTGTGCTGGGCCAAGTGTCTTGGGAACAGCAAATCTCAGAACGGAAGAAAAAACTTGCTTCTTGCAGTGACATCCCTAAGGGAGAATTACCCACTCAGGCCTGGAATAAGAGGAAGGGGACGAGTCTAATGAGCAGACCCGCCAGAAATCCCTCCTCTGATGCTGTCTTAATTATAGACAGCCATTTCCTTTTTTATCAATTAATTTTTTAGGATATATTTTTTATTGTAAAGATACTGGGGTTTACAGTTATATGAATAAGGCAATGAGTCCATTTTCTATGGAGCATTGTTACCTCCTTTGTTTTTTCCCTACCATCCCTTTTCAGTCTTCCTCTAGGTTGGGGACCAATGCTTGCGCCCTTGTGGTTATTTATTATGCCTGGATGGATAGCTTAGTCTCCATCATGTAGTAAATGGTCAAAAAAGGGATTTTTGAATTTTCCAAGTGGAGAATTTCTATGCAGAGAACCCACGTCGGTGAGTTGGAGCCCAGCAGTGTTGGCAGGAAATCTATGAGACAGTTGTCAAGAATATTGACCAGAGGTCACCTCGACCCAAGGTAGCCCAGCCAAGACCTGAGTGCTGCTCGTGATCGCTTGCTGGTTTGATGAATGCATGGATGTGTTCGTGTCCAGGGCCAGGAAGGGGCAGG